GCAGTGTTCCTTGTGGCAGCACCGCGACTGAAGCGTCAGCGCGCGACGGGCCCTCCTCCCTTGCTGTCGGAGATGCCTGTGGAGACCTGCCGCCGCTCCCCCCTGGGCCTTTTGGATGCGCCTGTGTGTCTGGGCTCCCCAGCCGAGGCCCCCTCCCCCCCCGCAGACGGGTCCGGAGGACTGGTGCCGCACCGCCGATGTGTCGGCGCTGCGGCGCGATCTGGAGCCCGCCCTGAAGTGCGATCCTCCGACGCCATGCACTGCGGCCCCGTTTTTAAAAGGTCCCGTGGGGCCAACGCTTGGCCGAGCCGTTGTGCTGTGTGCCAGCCGTTGTGGAAACCTTTCTGGGGAACACTCGGGGGAGGAAAATGGGAGAGGATGAGACATTTGGGGGGGCCTCTTGCGTCCCTCGTCAGGCCCTCTTGCGGTCTCCTTGGTTTCCTGGGGTGGGTCGTGGTAAAGCTCTCTTGCCGCGTCTGTCGCCCTCGGAGGCTGTCTTGGGGGTCTTTCTGGGCCCTCATCGTGCGCTTCATAGTCGTCTCGGGGGCCTCTTGGGCTCTCTGCGGGGCCTCTTGGGCCATCTTGTGGCCCTTTCGAAGGCGTGTAAGGGGCCGGCTTGGGGCTACCCTGGAGGCCTGGGGCGGTATCTGATGTTGGAAGCCCGAATGTCGAGAACGCGAAAATCTGGGAAAGGCACATGGGGGGACTCTTGGAGTCCTCTTGGTTCTTATCCGGAGCCTCTTGGGCCGTCCTGAGGCCATTTGGGTTTGTCTTGAGGCCATCTTGGAGCCATTTTGGGCCCTCCTAGCCCTGTGGGGGCCGTTTGGGAGACCATCTTGGCGCATCACCGTCGTCTTGACAGCCTTCTGGAGCCATGAGATGGACCTTTTTGCCAATTTCTGGGAAGCTGGCGGTTTGGTTATTGCATACTTTTTGTTAGGGCTCGGTCAGGCTACGGGGGCGGCGGATCTAGAAGCCTTCGGCCCATCCCGTCACCGTGCCTGTGTCGTGGACACGCTTCTTAGAGGTTTCTTCGGTCTCTGTGCCTTTGGGGCGGTATCTGTCTCGGGAGCCGTCCTGGGGCGATCCTGTCCAGGGAGACCGCTTGGCCTGCTCGAACGCTCGTAAGACCGAAAGGCCGAAAATGTCAAAGTCATGCAACAACCATTCTGACTTTTAATGATGTTGGTTTTTTGAGCCGGCCGGTACGGGCTTCCAGATAGCCCGATCGATATGTAGGCGCCCAAGAGGGCGCCAGGGCGGGCCATGAAACCACCAGAGGGCATATGGACGTGAGGGTTCGGAGCCGCTTTCCTGGGGCCCCTCGAAAAGTCGCGCGACGCAGCCCTGGAACGCCCGTGAGTTGGGGGACCGGGGCCCTTGAAGACCCCATGCAGATATCGAAGGGACCTGAGCGCACTCAACTTAGTGCCTCAGTGCGCGGGGGGTGATACAGTATGAGATGCAATGCTACGCTACGACATGCAAGACGTATGCTACGCGCTATGCCAACGCAATGGTCAGCGTTTGAGTTTGCACGACCACTGGCCTTTTAGCACCGAACGTCGAGGTTTCCCAAGCGAAGCCTGGCAGCATAACTGGGGATCGGGATGATGACAAGCATCCAAACACAAGACAAGGGCAACCCGAAGCAGGCCAGCATCATGTGCAGTGTCACCTGCAGACCGAAGACAGGCCGAGGAGTAAATTCGCTCAATAAATGCGGACCGCCTCGTGCAAGCCTATGGCAAGCTGCCCACCGAATCGTCGAGCCTGGGTCCGTTGAATTCGCCGCAGAATTCCCGCTGGCGTGACCCACGCCTCGCCGACAAAAGCAGACAGCGACCTTCCGTGATCATTTTGGCTTAAGCCTCAAGGACCTTCAGCGCGTTGTGCCCTCACCCGCCTCCTATTGTAGAAGCAGGCCGCCCGCGTCATGGCGCTCCGCGCTGCCTCTGTGCTGTTCCTGCTGGGGTCCGCGCAGGCCGCTGTGACGCACACCAGGTTCGTGTGCGGCCAGCAGACGCAGATCTTCACCTCGACTTCTGCGGACGCCGCGGGTACAGCCGAGTTCTCGGAGATCACCACGGAGGACGGCAAGTGCAACATGATCCAGAACGCCAATGTTGCCTCTGTCAAGTTCTGCGGACCAGGCAAGCTGACGCTTTCGCGAATGACCTGCAGCGAGCACCACGACTACAAGGCGCAGATCGTCGAGCACAGCGCGAGCGACTACACCACCCAGTGCGAGGTCATCAGCACGGCGGGCACCGTCGTCGACGGCTGGCTCGGCAGCTTCACGCTGAGCTGCTGAGCCCGGGCCGCGCGGCGCACCTCTGGCATGGTCGCCTCCACAGGACGGCGTCGTTGATGTCTCCGGAATCACACCGTGATCTCAATTGAAAAAAACACCACAGACAGCGACTTTGGGAGCACGCGCTGCTTCTGCGGCGCGCCGAGGGGGGGAGCGAGGAGGGGGGCAGGCCTGCTCAGAAGGCGGCGAGGTTTCTCAGAGGCCCTCCGGTTTTCTGGGGAGCCCCCCCGTGGTCTCGGGGGGAGCTTTTGCCAGCTCGTCAGGAGGCGGGAGGCCCCCCGAGCCCCCTGCGAAGGCCTGCCCCCTCTGCCTTCCCCCCCTGGCCGCGCCGCCCAGAGCCCGTAAGCCGAATCGGGCATGCTGTACCTCCGTAGCCGTTTTGGCTCGGGCACGTTCGCCTCACCACTTTCATGTGTTCCCGTCCAACTAGCAGTACTCCAGGTTTCGTAATAAAAGGAGGGGGGTCTCATTTCGGGGGGGTCTCTTCCAGGCTATCTTGGAGGGCCTGGGGGGTCTGGGGACGGTGTTTTGGAGGGTTCTCCCACGGGGGGGGGGGTCTGAAAGGGCTTGTCTTGGAGGGTCCAGACCCCCTCCCTTTTATTACGAGATCTGGAGTAGCCGTTTTGGCTCAGGCATGTTCGCCTCACCACTTTCATGTGTTCCCGTCCAACTAGCAGTATTGATCCAATTTGTCCATGCGCACATGGAGCGTTCCTTATTACCGTTTTGCAGATTCATCTGTTCGCGTCCGGTGTCGTGGTCTACCATGTGCGCACATGGTTTGACCGTCGATATCAATCATGAAGACCCGAGTGCTGCACAAAGGAGCATGGAAGAGGAAAGGGTGTACGCCCATTTTTCAATTCGGCATCACACAGTGCATGCAGGAATACGGCTTGAAGAAAGAGGAGCCTATTCTCATCACAGGCGTGGATTCGTTTCATCTTGTTGCCTACGGCCCATCCCGTGGCCGTGCCCCGGGGGGTCCCAGGGGTCTCTCAGGGGCTGGGGCCGTCTTTGGATGAGATAAGCCCTGGGCCCCCTGCCCGCCTGCGAGCCTGGGCGGGGAAGGGGGCGACCGGACAGGGAGCTGAGAGCGCGGAAAGGGGGGGGGGGCGGGGGGCTTGAGAGGAAGGGGGGGAGCGCGAGAGCGAGGGAGGATAGCGCGAACAGGCAGAAGGGGGAGCGCGAGAGGGAGGGAAGCAGCAGAGATGCGGGGTGATTCGGGGGCACCTTGCCTGGCACGCTCTCTGAGGCCTTATTGATTGCCCTGGGAAGTACAGTGCTGTTCGCCGATTTTGGCGCCCGCGTTCCATCTCGGAAGGTACGCGGGAGTATCGGGCAACTACGAGCCTCTGAGGGGGAGGGACGCGAGAGTATCCCATGGGATGAGGAGTTCTGGGCCTCTGAGCACCTGCTTGTTGATGGCCCCTCCGCTTCGAACGACTTCTCCAGGCCTCCCAAACGTGGTCCGAGACGATTGGGTCCGAGGGCCGCAGCGCATCGCCGATGCATCGGCGAAAACAAATCGATGTGGAGCCCAGATGTTATCCCGCCGATGCATCGCCAAATGCACCGAGGAAGTTGCTGCGCGGCGCGATCCTCCGCACAGGGGGAGCGGCAGGAGGAGGAGGAGGAGGTGGCGGCGCAGCAGGCGGAGGAGGCAGCAGCAAGGGCGGTGCCGAGTATTTGATCAGGCCTTCAGTAAGAAGGAGTACGGGAGGAATCTCGACTACAGGCCCACGTCCCCCTCCAGCGGCCGCATCATCTGCTGGGGGCATTGCCAGCTGGAAAGGCTGCCATAATGCCTCCTGCCCGCACTCCCACTGGGCGATTGGCAAGGTGGGCCTGCTGGACCGCACGGCGCAGATACACTTCATCACGCGCGGGGGGCAATTTGCACGAGGAAGCGTACAAGAGGACGGCCGCGCTCAGGACGGAGTACGAAGGAGAGGAGGCTCCCAAGCGGGTTGGGGAGTCCGCGGCCGCTGCTAGCTCTTCTCCGCCTGCGCCCCAGCCTCGCCGCTGGTCGGGAGACCCCCGCCGCTGGCACGCCGAAGGAGGAGGCGCCGCAGGTCGAGGAGGCCAAGGATGCAGGAGGAAACAGGAAGGCTTTACCTCGAGCGATCATGGGCGAGCCGCGCGCGAGCTCCCTTCATTTGGCCGGGTGGAGGCCCCTAAAGAGTTGAAGGACTTCAACCCAACGGGGCTGGAGGATCACCTGCGCCTGACGATGCAGGGGCCCGACGCCTGGTGGCTGACCGACAGCCACCACGCAAAGCAGCATATGGTTTTGCTGCCGGACTCCTACGCCTGAGCTGGCGCGCAGCAGGGCGGTCATGCACGATATTGATACCGACCCTTCCATCTGGCCCGGCACGTGGCAGCGGCGACGGGCCTGTTGGGCCTTTACTTCCGCAGCCGAATGCGAGCGGCGAAGACGGCTGACGAGACGCACGACGTCGAAGCGTTGGCGGTGCACACTGTCGAGTTCGGATGCCCCGGCCTGGCGGGCGCGGCCGAGGTCTATCCTCCGCAGCACTACCAGTGGAATAAAGTCGGGCAAGTGGCGCCCAGTCAAGCCAAGGTGGGGCCTATCGAGTGGGGGGCAGACGAGAGCCGGGCCAGGACATTCTGTCCTTGGCGGGCTTGGACTGGACCATGCTCGACATCCGCAACAAGCTGGCCCTGGGCGCCGAGATTGTCGAAGCGCTGGACAGGCTACAGCTTTCGACGCAGGGTGAGCCACCAGAAATCGAGCTTCGCGAGTGCGCCGTCCTCAACGTGGTGGCGGCGCACATGGTCGGCAACAAGCAGGATCCGCCAGGCCGCTGGCCATAGCGATCGAGGCCCAGGAGGGCGGCCTCAAGCTCCGGAAGGAGATGCTGGCGGCAGCCAGGTCAGCGGAGGGCGCCATGGGCGAGGTCCACAGCTTGCTCCCGCAGGCCAAGGCGGACCTTCGCGTCTTCCGCCGCGACCTCACGCACAGGGACCACGGCAAAGTTTACCGCGCGTGCGCAGCGATGCCGTTAAACCTCTTGCGGAGCAAGGCCCTGGGCGCCGCGCGCGTGGACTTCTACGGCAGGGCCGCGGTCGAGTTCATCTTCGGCCCCGAGTTCACGCGCCAGGAGGCGGATATTATTTGGGCCATTGCACGAGGGCCACGCGCGGGCCCTGGTCGCGCCGACAGACGGCATCGCGGGCTAGTTGCACGGCGCGGGGAGCGACGTCCAGGAGCTGCCAGCCACGTGCCGGGAGGCCCTGCTCGAGCTGGCGCTCGCGACCAGGTCACTTCCAGCGTACGCAGGGGCGCCAGCGTGCCAGCGGCGCGCGGAGGCTGCGGTCGCGGCAGTCACCCGGAGGCCAGCGCGCGGCTTCCTCGTCGGGCTTCTGAGCGAGGAAGCCTTTGACAACTCCGTCCTATTCCTGGGAAGGGTCGCGGCGAGCGAGGTCCGAGGAGAGCGAGGGAGAGGTTGAGGCCGGCAAGGCGACGAGATCCGCCAATCGATTGGCTTGGGGCCCAGGCCGCAGCCCTTCCACCGCAAGGGCATCGCTTCGGTTCCCTCGGGATCTTCGCGGGCGATGCGCGCATATCGCAGGCTGTGGCCCTGAAAGGAGGTCGCGTTATCGAGATCCGGCTGCAGCACGGGCGGGGCCTTCGACGACGTGGGGGCCGACGGCTGCTGCCGGCGTTTACGGGCATCTACGACCCGCGCGAGACTCGGCTCAGCCGGCCATGCACGGCCCCCCACGCCCTCGCGGCGCTCGACGAGTCTCGAAGTGTCGACCTGTCGAGGGCGAAACGGGAGGGTGCGATCTTTCTGTCGCTCGCCAAGAAGATCATGGCCAAGCGCAGGGGCTGCTCGGCCGAGGACCCGCGGCCCTTCGACGGCTCGGCGGCACCTCGAGGCACCGCGGAAGCGGCCCATCTGCAGGCAGGCGAGGTTGGACCTCTGCGCCCTCAACCTACGCAGCGCCGCAGGCGGCCCGCGCCACAAGCCGACGCGCTTCGCCCGGGCGTCAGAGGACTTCGCCGGGGCGCTCAACCTGCGCTGCAGCGCCGGCAATGCGCGCGACATCGTCGAGGGAAATGCCGTCGCCAAGCGGGGCGAGACCTACTCGGAGGAGATGGCCGAGCTTGCCGCTAAGACGGCGCTGCGGCGGGCATCGAGGGCCCGCCAGAGCGGAGAGGAAGAGCACGGAAGGGGGGGCGGAGCATCGGCGCGAGGGGCCCAGCCCCGACCCCCCCCGCGCCCTACAGGCGCGGGGGGGGTCGGGGCTGAGCCCGCGCCCAAGCGCGAGGATGCGGCGGCGGGGGCCCGTTGCGATTTTCTCCGAGACCACCCGGATCACGACGCAGGAGGGGTTGGCGAGCTGGTCCGACGAGGGGATGCTGCGCTTGAGTCCGGGTCACTCGCGGAGGCCATTGTGGCGCAGAGAGGGAGTTGGTGGGAGAGGCGTGGCAACCGCCTGAGGGGCATCTTCGACCAAGCGCGCAAGGTGGCCGAGGACGGGTTTCGGGCGCACTTCCTCAGCGAGGTAGGGGGTGCATTTATGGCGACGGTGCTCACGCATAACCCGGGTCGCACCACGCGCGGTAAGAGCAGGCTGATATGGGGCGGCACATTCCCCAACCAGAGGTGCCCCAAGGAGGGCCACCCCCCGGCGCACCAGCCAAGGCATGAGGATATGGCTCGCATCATCTTGCGGTGGAAGGCCCACACGCCACTGGTCGAGATAGACTTGGCCAAGAAGGACGTCAAGGACGCATTCAGGTTGGTCGTGGTGCGCGAGATGGACGCCTGCATCTTCGGCGCGGACTTCGAAGGCGGTAAGTGGGGCGTGGCAGCCCTCATCGCGGCGTTCTACGCGGCCCTGACGTTTGCCTGGTCGGGCAGCCCAGGCGAGTGGATCATCTGGGCGCGGGTGGGTGAGCGCCATCGCGCAGCCTGTCGCCCGGCCAACGCGCGCAGGAGTGATATTGCCCCCGTCCCACATGTCCGTTCTGATGGGCGACCTGCAGGTACCCGCGGAGCCAGGCGTCGGCGCGCGGGCGGCGCAGCGCGGGGCTACAGCCCTGGTCATTGGGCCTGCCTAGGCAGGACGCCGCGAACGAAGAGAAGGATCAGGAAGAAGGAGGCTGGGGGACCGCGGAGATATGCTGAGGCCGCCTGCGTTGGACCGAG